CTATAGTATTTACACCAAACCATAAAGCAGAATTATCCACCAAAAATATTCTAAATGTACAATATTGTTAAGCTGTGTAAATACATAACAGATTTCAACACTTAAATCATTTGTTTGTGTAATTTTAGTTCATAATTCAGCCTTCTACAGCTCAAATCTAGTCATACTGTGGAAAAAAGTAACCAAAAACTACCCACGCTAAATACTGACCTCCAGAAATTATTGTTCTGTTTATCATATATTTTTCGTGACGAGCTTAGTTACACCTGGAATTTTGATCGTTAAAATATTTTAGTTTTAATCTAGCTTGTCAACTAGGGTCTATAAGTAACACATTTTGAACCATGAGTGACAAACATGTTTCAGAATTTATTGCTCGTAGCAGTTTCCTCTAGCCTGATTCATCAGACGGTTTCACTTTGTGGAAACCGTCTGACCTCGCAGCATTAAGATTCATTCGCTCGACAGTGGGCGAATACTTTTTTTTAATTTAACCAATCATTGCTATTTGGTTGTGACGTATGTAATGCACCAAATCCCGTAGGAAGAAGGACAATAACGTCTTTCCCCTTGATAAAATTCACCAAACATTCTCTTTGTTCCGGCTTTAAATCCTTGATCTCAGGAATCGTTGCCAACACAGAATGTCTGTCTTCATCTTCATCCATCTCAACGCTTTGTTTACTGTTGTGCTGTTCCACAAAAGGGACCCAGACAGGTGCTTGAGGTTGACATCATGGCCTCACAGTTTTTCACGGTCTACAACTTCCTGTGTGAGATTGTATTTTGACCCCCATAGTACATTGACCCCGGGGTGAACATACCACTATAGTAAAGTGACCCCCCCTATAGGATTTTGACTCCTCTTACTTTTTTCATTAGTAGTTAGTTATATGATCATTATTTCTCATGTAATTTACTTTTATTATATATTGCTGCATATTCACTTTCTTTTAAGGTATTTTAAGGAATGTTTTGATGGAGAACGACTTGGTATTTTGTGTAAATGTAACATATACACAGCAATCTTGTCACTTTTTATATTGTACTTTACATTGTTATGGTTTTTAGTTTGCTATATTCAGATAATCCTTAATCATAATGTCAATTTAGGCAATGGTTTGTAAGGATAACGACCTTGAATTTAGGGATTCTTGCAGATCATCTAGTACAGGGGTCTCCAAACTCTTTCCTCTGGTGAGCTACCCTTAGAAAAAGAAAATGCCGGAGAGCTACTCATTTAGAAAAATTTTAAGACAGAAAGATTTTTATTAGTGTACAAAGATAGGAATCAGAATGATACATTTAACAGGCCTTTAATCAAATCAAATTTTAGTTATTCAGCACAATATATATGATACAGAAATCCCTTGGCGAGCTACTTGGAAGGGGATGGAGAGCTTTTACAATATTGAGTAAAGAATGTTTTATTGAAATATGTGATGGAATAATCAGGAACTGTACCAGCGTTTTAAAATAAATATTATTTAAAGGTCCTATATTGCGCAAAAATTGACTCCTGTGAGCTTTAAGTCATGTTATAATGTTGTTATCTCACCAAAAACATACCTGGAGTTGTTTTTTTGTTGTATTATTCACGCTTCCCAGGGCTGAAATAATCCAAATGATTCAGGTGAAGGTGTATGGAGTTTAAAAACACAGTGGAGTACTTCCTTTACTACAACATCACAATGAGTGTTTTCAGTTTGAGAGAAGAACTCGGGATAAATCTGCAGGGTTTGTGTGTTTAAATATGTGTGAATGAAACAAAACATAGATCATAAAATAGAGTAATATGGGCCCTTTAATGTTTTTAAGAGCTGCATCTTCTCTTAAGGCGTTAGTGTCTTTAAAGAAACCCCTTTGTTTACGTAGCTAGACTCACTGTAATTCTTCTTCATGTTGTGTCTCTTTGAGTGCGAGCGCTGGTGCAGTGGGTAGTTTGAATGATCTACTTGGAGTTTAGAGAAACGCTGGGGATGTTTGGACCTCTGGAGATTCACTGTTTTGCAAAGGGAGCGAGGGAGGAGGAAGAGTGGAGGATAGCAACAACACAAGACCAAATCAACTTCTTAATATGGCAACAGCAGCAGCAGCAGCAGCAGCAGGAACAACTGTGTCAGCCGCAAACGCAGTCGTTGTAGTAATAGTTGTAGAATTACTAATACATTTTTTCTCACGATTCAGACCAGTGATTTAAGAATAAGATCTCCCAATGTAATGAAGCCTTTCACTGAATGATGAATAATTGTTAATAATTAAAAATGGTGAAATCTCCTCCAAATGTCGTCTGTAAAATTAAAAAAAGTCATCATATTAATGGGTTTCAGTAGTAGCAGTTGTACTACTCGTAGTAGTAGTAGTTGTAGTTGTTGTAGTTGTTGTAGTAGTTGTAGTTGTTGTAGTAGTTGTAGTTGTAGTTGTTGTTGTTGTAGTAGTTGTTGTAGTAGTAGTTGTTGTAGTTGTTGTAGTAGTAGGTGTAGTTGTTGTAGTAGTTGTAGTTGTAGTTGTTGTTGTAGTAGTTGTAGTAGTAGTTGTTGTTGTAGTAGTAGTTGTTGTTGTAGTTGTTGTAGTAGTTGTTGTAGTTGTTGTTGTAGTAGTTGTTGTAGTAGTAGTTGTTGTAGTTGTAATTGTTGTTGTTGTAGTAGTAGTAGTAGTAGTAGTAGTAGTAGTAGTAGTAGTAGCAGCAGCAGCAGCAGTAGCAGCAGCAGCAGTAGTAGTAGTAGCAGCAGCAGTTGTAGTTCCAGCAGCAGCATCAAGTAGTAGTAGCAGCAGCAGTAGTAGTAACAGCAGTAGCAACATTTGTAGTTCTCATAGTAGCAGCATTTGTAACAGTAGTAGTAACAGTAGTAGTAACAGTAGTAGTAGCAGTAGTAGTAGCAGTTATAGTAGCAGTAGTAGCAGCAGTAGTAGTAGCAGCAGTAGTAGTAGTAGCAGTAGCAGTAGCAATAGCAGCAGCAGTTGTAACAGTAGTAGTAATAGTAGTAGTAATAGTAGTAGTAATAGTAGTAGTAGTAGCAGTAGCAATAGCAGCAGCAGTTGTAACAGTAGTAGTAATAGTAGTAGTAATAGTAGTAGTAATAGTAGTAGTAGTAGCAGTAGCAATAGCAGCAGCAGTTGTAACAGTAGTAGTAATAGTAGTAGTAATAGTAGTAGTAGTAGTAGTAGTAGTGTGATGCAGGGCACAGAGTTGTGGTAATGGGAGACGGCAGCTGCAGATCTCATCATTTACGCTCCATTAGCTCTGCAGATATGGAACATGAGAAACACATGGACACACTGGGCTCTCGTGTGCTCAAGGCCTCAGCGGGAAACTACTTCAGACTGGACTGTCGACTGTCGTGTACACGGCCTCACAAATACACTTTCAGTTTAAAAAGTCAAAACACAAAAACACCCCTGAAGACACAGCGTGAAAAAATATCGGCATTGATACTGGTACTGTATTTTTCTTCTCTGTATGACGAGTTGAGAGTAGACGTTGCAGTACATTTACTTCTAACTCACACTATTTGGATCTCAGCGGTCCTGTGGTCCTGTGTAGTATTAGTATTAGTAGTAGCATTGGCAGTAGTAGTAGTATTAGTAGTAGTAGTAGGGTGGTAGTGGTGGTAGTATTGGTAATACTAGTAGTAGTAGTTGTATTGGTAGTATTGGTAGTAGTAATGGTAGTATTGGTAGTAGTAGTATTGGTAGTATTAGTAGTAGTAGTATTGGTAGTATTGGTAGTAGTAGTAGTGGTAGTATTGGTAGTATTGGCAATAGTAGTAGTTGTAGTAGTAGTTGTATTGGTAGTAGTAGTATTGGTAGTATTGGTAGTATTGGTAGTGGTAGTATTGGTAGTACTGGTAGTAGTAGTATTGGTAGTATTGGTAGTAGTGGTAGTACTGGTGGTAGTAGTAGTGGTAGTATGGGTAGTAGTAGTATTGGTAGTATTGGTAGTAGTAGTAGTGGTGGTAGTGGTGGTAGTAGTATTGGTGGTAGTAGTAGTAGTAGTAGTAGTAGTAGTAGTAGTAGTATTGGTGGTAGTAGTAGTAGTAGTAGTAGTAGTAGTAGTAGTAGTAGTAGTAGTAGTAGTAGTAGTAGTAGTAGTAGTAGTAGTAGTAGTAGTAGTAGTATTGGTAGTAGTAATAGTAGTATTGGTAGTAGTAGTAGTAGTATTGGTAGTAGTAGTAGTAGTAGTAGTAGTAGTAGTATTGGTGGTAGTAGTAGAAGTAGTAATAGTAGTATTGGTAGTAGTAGTAGTAGTATTGGTAGTAGTAGTAGTAGTAGTAGTAGTAGGTGGTAGTAGTATTGGTGGTAGTAGTATAGTAGTAGTATTGGTAGTAGTAGTAGTAGTATTGGTAGTAGTAGTAGTAGTAGTAGTTTGGTAGTAGTAGTAGTATTGGTAGTAGTAGTAGTAGTAGTAGTATTGGTAGTAGTAGTAGTATTGGTAGTAGTAGTAGTAGTAGTAGTAGTAGTAGGTAGTAGTAGTAGTAGTAGTATTGGCGATAGCAGCAGCAGCAGTTTAAAAATTCAAACACAAAATCACTCGTGAAGACGCGGCGTTAAAAAAATATCTGTGATACTGGTACTGTATTTTTCTTGCCTTTATGACGAGTTGAGAGTAGAGTTTGCAGTACATTTACTTGTAACTCTGAGCGGCGTCCCATGGCAGAGACGGCAGCACTAATTGGCTCTCAGCGGTCCTGTGGTCCTGTGATTTAAGACTTTTTACCAAGAGAAACTTTCAGATTCAGGACATTAAACAAATATGATGCAACTTTTTATTTTTTTATTCGAAAACATTAACATTTCTCACAAGCACAACAACCATCGCCAGTGACAATACGGTGTCCTTAAACCTGACCTAAATTAACCTAATGGCTCAGTCGGTAGGGAATTGCCGATCTAAAAGGCTGATAGTTCAATTCCCACAAAAAGCCATGCGGTCTTCAGTCATAACAAATGCATTTTTGTGGTTTATAAAAATGTATTTTTCTCTCTTCTTCTCTCTCCAGACTTCTTCTAGAAACTTCCTGAGTGGCCCCATAGCTCCACCTTGAAGAATCCAGGTGGGATATATTTATTTATTTATTTTTTTTAACATTTTACTAAAGCTAATTAAACAAACGAAAAGAGAAATAGGTACTATCAAATGAATGAGTGACATCTAAAAAATATTGATGTAACAATAACTGAAATATCGTGATATCGTATCAAAGTTCTCACAATAATATCGTGGACCATCACAATATATCAAATTACAAGTCTCTTTGCTTAAATTAAAAGTTATGGTGCAGCAATAATTAGAAAAGACAGATGGAACTACATAGACCATGATCCTTTGCTCCGTTTCAGTGCAGACTACAAGAAGAAATAACAGTTTTTTTTTTTTTTATTTATTCTTTTTTATTTGATTTGAGTTTTCCAAAATAACCTTAAAAAAAACAACAACAAAACACAAACAAACAAAAAAAGCATTAACCACATTTAAAATTCACATGGTAATAGAGCTGCTCGATTAGAAAAAAAAAAAAATCATTATCACGATTAATTTTGGTCAATATTGAAATCACAATTATTCAAGTGATTATCTTTTAGTTGCACAATGCATTTATTCAGCATTTTTCTCTCTCGATCTTTCTTTTCTTTTTTTTTTTAAAGCAAAATAATAAGCTGCCTTTGAAAGAAGAAGAAAGAAAGAACAGTTCTAAGCACTTTTAAGTTTTAGTTCTTTGGATTAAGGCATTTTAAGAAGAAATTTTATATATGTTAACAGTTATCGCAATAAATATTGTACCATGAGATGTATATCGTGAAAATATTGTGTAAATATCGTAAGAGATTTGAATATTGTTAAATCCCTAATCGTGAGACTCCCCACCAATCAATCTATCTAAAAACCACTTCGGCGACAAATACAAGGCCCACACATCACTCTTAGAAGGTAGAAAGCTCTGAAAAGTTGATTTTGCGTGAGATGGGCCCTTTAATTGAAAACTTTGGAGCTTGGATCGCGACAGAAAACAAATGTCAGCAATGCAAATTAAGGGAGAGTATGAGATTTGTTAGGGAAAATATATAGACTAGTGTCGAGCTTTTTCCTTGTAGAAGCAGATGGTGAAGAGGCCGATGCTTCTGCTGCTGCGGTAGAGACGGGAAAGGCTGTACTTCAAATAGCAGCGTAAATAAGTAAATAAAGTAAAAATAAAAAGCCAGGATATTGAGATAACCCATAAGTGTTGCATTTGGGAGACAAAGTACAGTGAACTTCAAAGTAACTCGTGCAATTTTCAGCATTTTCTCTTTAGTGCCACATTAGTTTTCTCTTTTTTGCATGATTGTCTCTTTACACAATAGCGCCTGTCAGCCTCACTGTTAGCGTCACTGTTTCATGTCTAATTTGATCTGTATGTGGTTCTTGCAGAGTCACGCTAAAATGAATAAATATTTAAAGATAAGGCAGTGAACGGGGAGCTGCGGGTGTTGAATACAGCAGAGGACATTTCTGTGTTTGGAAAGAGAGATGTTTGTGCCTCAGTGCCAACGCTAATTCTAATTTTGAGACGTCATAAATATTACAAACTGAAGTGATCTACATATAAAAATAATTGTGGAGTTTTTACTTTAATTAATCAGTTTGATGTTTTACGATTTTAATAAAAGTGACTGTTAACTTTGAGGGCGACAGTAGCTTGTTCGGAGTCGTTCGGATACCATTTTTTGGGATCCGATTTGATACCGATTAATGCCCTTTTTTGTACTCGCCGATACCGATATCATTCCAATACCGATACCAGATAGTGGGAAGTTTTATTACAGTTCATGAGAGAAAAATAACTCTTCTAAAAGGCAATTTTTAAAGAAAGTCTGCAAGAATAAATTGGATTCTAAGAAGTAAAGATGGGTCCGGTCAAGTGGTAACGGAGGGAAACAGGGGCAGATTTTTTACATTCAAATAGGTCTTATTCAGAAACTAGAGGGACTATTGAAATAAGTAAAGTATCAGAATGTAGGAAAGAGTTACACTCCAACAGGGTAAAGTTAAACCTGTGATATTCTTTCAAGTTGTTGACAAAAAATTTAAAAACTCATGTCGGTAACGGAGGGAATGAAATATGCAGCACTTTTTGGGCAATAAATCCAAACAGTGATAACTCTTGGTTCTCACTTACATATCCTTAACAAACTGGTTTGAATATTTGCTTCATATAGTTTTCTACCATATGGTACAAGATTAGGTTGAAAAACCTCTTACTTTTTGAGTAATGAGATTTTTTATTAAGAAAGGTCATGGTAACGGAGGGAAAAGTAACAGAGGGAAAATTGTGCAAACAAGTAGAAGGTGCATGATTTTACATAATTTGTCATCTTTTTTCTTCTGAATACTTTAATATTACTTCAAAATGAAAGGAAACTATTTCTATAAAATATGTCAGTCCTTCCAAGCAATCATCAATTATCATTTTAAATACATAAAAAAAAAAAAAATCATGTACCTTCATCAACAGTTCAAAGATGGAATAACACAAGATATGATGAAATACATCCATTTATTTACATGATTTGCAGGTCTTTGAAATTTGGGAAATAATTTTTGTTCCATGTTTCATACATGGTCTGTTTAAAACGTATGTAACTTTAGAACCAAAAATGGTACAGAAAAAAGGTAAACAGTTTCATAAACTAGAGTACATATGTATCTGTTCAATACATTTTTATATCAGATGAATTAACTTGAATTTTTGGCCTTGTTGTTTACTTCTGCTTGACTGGGCCCATATTAGTTAAATGTATAATTGTCTTGACTTGCTGATTTAAGTATTTTTGGAAGTTGATCGTCCAAACTAAAGACTAAATGAAGGTATCAAAGATGTAACACGAATATCTTTTTTGTCAATAATTAGCGTGTTTTAAGTGTCTGTAGTAGAGGTCTGCGTAGGACAGAATGTTTAGTCCCTCCCGCTTCTGCAAAGAACTGTAATTTTGATTCCTGCTCCCGCTGACATCTGTGATATTTTGTCCCACTCCTGCCCGCAAATGACGTTCGCTTTCTTAAGCTCTATCAAACGCGGAGAAGCGGAAAGGAATTGTCTAAAACGTGCACGAGATTAGACCACGTCCGCAAATTTAGGCTGCTTAAAATGTTTTTATTAAAGCCAAATAAAATATCCAGCACAAATGATGTACTATATGCTTACATTAATCATTTGTATATTTTACTTTACGCTCAGATTTAGTTTGCAGTCCCGCTCCCGCCCGCACCTGCAGTGAGCTTTCAAAATTTGTCCCATGCTGCAGTGTTTTACAGGGCTCTAGTCTGCTTATCCTCCACAGTCTGTTTACCCTGCTCTGAGCGTTAACATTAGCCGCAGATGGCAACAGCAGCTGTTCGCGTCTACAGGCCTTCATTTAGAAGAATACAGCGGTACAGGATCAGTGATTTGCTCTGAGTAATCACTGATACCTGAAAAATGTGCGGAAATATCGGAGCTTTTACCAATACTGGAATTGGTATCGGAACAAATTTAATCAGAAGATCGATGGTTCAAATCTCGTTTTTAACACAAACTTCATTGGTTAAGCGATCGAATACACCCACATACAGGTTGCGATTCCAGTTCCCACAGATGAATGCTGTCGTTATGACCTTGGGTAAGACACTTCACCTGCCTAGCCCTTCGTATCTGCCCTTTGTGGTGGTGAGTGGTTCCTTGGTGTCTAGACAGTTTTTCTCTATGTTCTTGGGCTGCTCTGTCTCCTCCAACGTACCCTTCTCGAGTAACTGATGTGCGATGGTTGTTGTGGTTATTCAATGGTCAAATATGGCACCATGTATAACCAATTTATATTTTCTTTTATTTTCAGGGGTTGTTGGTTTAACTCTTGGTTTAATTCTTAAACTTTTGACTTTGAACTTCGAATGAACTGTTTGAAGTAGGGATGGGCATTCGATGAAATTTTCTTAATCGATCGTCGGAAGAATTAACGATCGATTATCGATTAATCATTAACGTTTTTATATTAAAATGATCATCATTATTATTACTATCTGCACTACTAATCTGCATAAATAAATTCAATTTTACGACATATAAACCGTAACGACTCTAGAGCCACATCAGCCCGTTTGACATTATAATGTGTTTAATTCAGTTTTGCTCAACTCTCACAGAAACGAAACTTAAAACCACATCGCTAATTTGTATAAACTCAGCGAAGATAAAACTACAGCTCTTGTGTCGCTGATGCGGTTCAATTTCTGTTGGATTAAAAGACATGACTCAGGTGAATACAGGTTAGTGTGACCAGATTTGTGTTTGTCAAAACCAGGACACCGTACGGGGGGAGGGAGGTGGGGACTCGTCATCGACATTGAGCGACTCTCACCTGGAAAAACTTTTTCCCACTGGACACTGAAACATATGTGCTGCTTTATACACTGTGCACATGGACTCACACTTGTCCCGAACGCAACGGAAAGTGTGGAATTTCTTTTACAAGTCATCGTTAAATACGCATTTGTGCTTTGTTCGCAGACTGACCGACTGTTTCTGTTTGTGTCTCGCTCCTTCTGATGCAGAGAGACACATGTACAGACCCTGTTTGGTCACACTACACACAGCAACCTACATTCGGTTTGTCGATTAAAATGAACGTAATCGATGAAATTCTTAATGATCAATTATCGATTAATCGATTAATCATGCCCATCCCTAGTTTGAAACTAATTGTGTGTATAGTGAGTGTGCTGGTGTTGTGTACTTTTGTGTGATTGTTGCTGTACTTTTCCTCGTCCTATAGATGATTTTACATCGACCTGCCGAGGGACTGAAGATGGAAATTAGACCACGTTGGCTATAAACTTTACATATTTACTTTTTTAATGTTCATTAATATGTACTGTCCCTTTACAAATAAATAAAATAAGAAAAAGAAAATGTAGGGATGTAACGAAATCCAATCTCTCAATACGATATTATCATGATATGCATGTCACGGTACAACATTGATTGCGATATTTTTAAGAGGCTGATATAATTGTAGATGGGACACTTTTTTGCTTTTAAAATACCTTGACAAGATTTTGGTGTGAATAATTTCCGTCATAATCCCAAGAAGTCAAGTAAAAAACATATTTCTTCATGTTGTCTGCGCTGAAATGAATCATGGGATATGTAGTTTCCGATGTTTATAAGCTGTTGCTGCTATAAAATCATTCATTTAAGCAAAGGAACTTGTAATTCGATATATTGTGATGGTTTATTATTATGAGACTTTTGACGATACGATATCACGATATTTTGGTCATTATTACATCCCTAGTAAAGTGCTTTGAAGTAAAGGTGACCATTTACACAGACCTGCACGCAATCTGAACCAAATCAGATTACCCACATGAGACGATAACGCTTTACATGATATGTCTAATCTGATAACGCCGATCGCTTTATAACTTTACCCTTATTTGCCCTCAGTCCGGTCAGATCTGCCCCGCTGTGGACTCGAGCCTCCGGCCTTCACCAGAGCAGAGTCCAGCCGCCGAAGCTGGACGGAGGAGAGGCGACGAGACGGACCGAGGGCATGGCCTTCGTGCTGAGACACAGAACTGCCAATGTAACCGAGTCCGCGGAGAGTAAAGAGGAGCAGACTGCGCCTCCCATGAGTCCACGGGAGACCGCCACCTCAGGGTCAACCAATCACCTCACCGCCGCAGAGTGCCACTCTCATAATGGGGTGAGTACCAAACGCAGTACAGATGTCACAATGTTGAGTTAGAAAGCAGTATTTGAACGTAGTGTGGTTTTAAAGTTGAACTAATCCAATCCAAATCACTTTATTTCTATGGCACATTTCACAAACAAACAGTTTCCGAAGTGCTGCACAAATACATAATAATAAAAACAGTAATAAAATGATAAAATAAACACTCAGATTTAATCATACTAGTCGTAAAATAATAAAACAGCAAAATAAAATAAGACCAACATCATACAATAGCAATGAATAAATAAAGCCAATAAAATACACTCTCCACTGTGGGGGATGTTTTGATGTGGGGGGCAGAGCGTTCCAGAGTTTTGGGCCGGTCACAGAGAAGGCCCGGTCCACTTCGGGTTTTAAGTCTTGTTTTACTCACCACGAGCTCGAGCTGGACCTCGGACCCGAGAACACGCTGGGATGGAAATTTGAATGAGACGTACTGTGGGGCGAGTCCATTCAAAGCTTTAAAAACAAACAATAAAATCTTAAAATCTATTCTAAAATTAACAGGGAGCCAGTGCAAAGACGCAAGAATTGGGGTTATGTGCTTTCTTTTTTTTGGTTCCTGTTAAAAGTCGCGCTGCAGAGTTTTGGACTAAGACCCCGTCCACACTATCGTTCGTATTCGAGTCGTTTTCGTTGTGGATGCAGTGTTCGTCCACACTAATCTGACTGAAAAAGGCTTCAGAGATTCAACGATCTGGTGCCGCCAGCTCCCACGAATTCATTTGAGTACAGATCTGATCCTGCACTGTGTGGACACCTGAAAACCTTGATACGCCGATGTAGGTCTATGTGCTGCGAAAATAATTCACCGCCAAAACACTAAGAGGCTAGAATATATGTCCATTCATATATACTGTCTGTGTGTACGACCTGCAGACGTATAATCTCTGAAAAGTTTCACATGAACCATCTCCAACATGACAGAAACACAGAACAGACTCACCATCAGCAGAACACCCCTCTGTCACAGAAAGAACACTCATATTCCACTGAGTCGTGCCCTTTAGTCCGACAGAAGCTGAACTATATCAGCGCACAAGGAGGGAGCTGTTTTTTTTAGCTCAGTTTATGCAAATGAGCCATGTGGTTTTAAGTTTTGTTTCTGTAAAACGTAAACAAATATGCGCAAAGCCGTGTGGATAGGGAAGGATTGCGGACACAGAAACGACATGTGTGGGCGCAGATTGTTTCCAATACAGTGATACGGTGATACGTGGATTCCTTTCAGTGTAAACGTGGTCTAACTGTAGTCGGTAAATTGCGTTTTATGAGACACCGGAATAAAGTACGTTACAGTCGTCCAGGTGTGATGAAATAAAAGCGTACACGGCTTGTTCAAAAAGTTAAAAAGATAAAAAAGGTTTGCCGAAAATGATAAAAACTTGATTTTAAAGCACCATTAATATGCTTGTGAAATTTAAAATCACTGTCTAAGGTGATGCCAAGGTTGGTGGCTGTGGGGCGAACATAATTTTTGAGGTGTCCCACATCAATGAGGGGACTGCTGGCCCCAAACAGTATCACCTCAGTCTTTGATTCATCCAGTTTTAAAAAGTTTTGAGCCAACCAAGCTTTGACGTCGAGCATTGATCCGTTTTCCCAATAGGCAAGTAAATCTGGCAATCATCTGCATAAAAATTGTAAGAGAGGCCATGTCTCAACAACTAAACACTAAATCACTTTTTTGCTGCTAAACTTGAGCATATGGTGTTTGAATAGCATTATCTACTGTACTTTTTTGGCAATTTTAGTCCAAACTAGCTATAAATGCAATGTTGGTGGTGAAAAAATGATAGAAATAGGTGTCCTGTCCTACCTCCAGTGGCCACAGCTATTTCCTGTACTTGGTGACATCACTCCAAACTGTCCTGCTTACAGACAGCCCTGCAGCGCGGTGTTTCCGATCACAAACACTTTACCTTCAGGGGCGGTGTTTCAAGTCTGGATACCTGTTAAACCAGTCACGCTGTTCCTTATACCTCCAGACCTGCCCCCGTACCTGATTTTTACTTCTTTGACAACACAAAAAACAGAAGTAGCTCATTTCCAAAGTGATTCCTCATTTATCTTATACATTTCGAGCATTGTAATTATTCAGCATGTTTAGTTTATGAGCTCTTTTAACAACTCAAAACAACTATAGACTATAACACACTTTCTAATTAGATGCAGACGGCACATAGCAATCTTTTTTTGACTTCAAGAGCTGTTTATACAATACAGCTTTGGAAAAAAAAATAAGAAACCACTGCAAAATGATCAGTTTCTCTGATTTTACTACTTACAGGTTGTGTTTGAGTAACATTTGTTTCATTCTTTATACTACTGACAACATTTCTCCCAAATTCCAAATAAAAATATTGTTATTTAGAGTGTTTATTTGCAGAAAATGACAAATGGTCAAAATAACAAAAAAGATGCAATGTTTTCAGACCTCAATAATGCGAAGAAAAGAAGATCATATTCATTTTAAAACAACACAATACTAATGTTTTAAAGGGCCCATCTCATGCAAAATAACTCTTTTCACATTGTATCATCTGCACACAATTTGGGTTTTGGAACATCCATTAGTAGTTCTGAAATCTTACTGATTTCTTGGAGACAGTCACAGACCAGGAACTATGAAAGTCCGACTATTGCTCCTCCCCCTGCTCGTCCTGAGAAAGCACAGGCTCCGCCCTCCAAACGTGACGTAGGCTCTGAGTGAGCCGCCCTTCCTCCACCATCTCAGGGAGGGAGGGGGACACAGGCGTGCACCCTGATAGCGGGAGGAATAAATATTTATTCATCATGGAGATACAGCGCGTTCAGCCGCATGTGTTGGACCCAGAATCGGACGAGGACTTTGAGGTGCACGAAGCTCAAGCACCGCGTCGACATCAACTGAACATTACTGATTGGTAAAGTATTAATAAACACTAGTAGATAAACTTATTATATCGTGTTCACTGCAGTGTAGAACAATGAGCTTATGCTGATGCTTTTGTTTAGGTGTTCATGTGGGAATTGTCAGACGATGCGGGGCGGACACCTATGACGTCAAACGCGTCATAGGTGTATCTGGCCACGTCATTGTTGTAGCAGATTTAGTACACTGTCACATGGGAGGGTGGCAGAAATACGCTGCAATCTGTTAAAAAAATGCCGAATCAATCTAAAAACCACTTCGGCTACAAATACAAGGCCCACACATCACTCTTAGAAGGTAGAAAGCTCTGAAAAGTTGATTTTGCATGAGATGGGCCCTTTAACTTAGGAAGAGTTCAGAAATCAATATTTGGTGGAATAACCCTGATGACCGTCCATCTTCCTCTTGATCACGTTCCAGAGGTTTTCAGTGGGGTTCATGTCTGGAGATTGGGCTGGACATGAGAGGGTCTTGATCTGGTCGTCCTTCATCCACACCTCGATTGACCGAGATGTGCGGCGTTGAGCTTTGTCCTGCTGGAAAAAAACAGTCCTCAGAGTTGGGGAACACTGTCAGAACAGAAGGAAGCAAGGTCTCTTATTTTTTTTCCCCGAGCTGTATATCTGTACTGGAGCAAAACAATTTTACTCAAATACAAAGAAAGACGACGCCATGTCCACAAACATATCAATAATACAACAGGGTCACAGTATATTTGAGACCAGAGGCGACCCAAACGTGTTCAAAAATGAAACAGGAGGAAATGTGTACGCCGTGTTCAGCTTTAAAGGACTGAACGGGAGCTGCGTCTACTTCTGACATTTTGTATTTGCATTGTTGTAAATATGAGTCACTGTTACACAACTTCATTTTCATAAACTAATGTTAGTGCGTGTTGTTTGTCCACATACTTTTGAGGTCGGTGCAGGAAATGCTGATAACACTGATAAGATTAATGTACATATAGTGTCTGATACTTAACACTGTAATAGAAGTGAGTTGTAAAATAATAATATCAAGCTTTATATGATTAAAAATCATTTCCAGACTAAATGCAAAACTCCTGACAAGAATTCCATTTGCATTTTTCCACCTTCTTCAGTTTGGCTGCAAAAACATGTGTCAGCAGAATCTCATGATAAAAACAGCATGTTGCTAGAACTACTTTTCACACTGTTTGAATTCCTCCTCTTCCTCCTACTCCTCTCCTTCCTTCTTCTCGTCTCCCTTCTTCTCCTCCTGCTCTCTCCCTCTTCCACCTCTGCCTCCTTCTTTCTCACCCCCGTCCTTTCCTTTCACCTCCTTCTCTCGCTTCTCCTCATCTCCATCCTCCTCCTCTCTTCCTCCTCCTCCTCTTCCCTTCTCTCTCTCCTCTCCCTCCTCTCTTCTCCTCTGCCTCCCTCTCTTCCTCCTCCTCCCTCCTTCCTCCTCTCACTCCTATTCCTCTCCCTCCTTCTTTCCCTCCCCTCCTCCCTCATCTCCCTATTTCTCCTCTTTCTCTTCTCCCTCCTTCTCTTCCTCCTCTCCTCTCTCTCACCTCTTCCACCTCCTCCTCTCCCTCTTCCTTCATCTCCTCCCTCCTTCTTCCTCCTCTCCCTCCTTGTCTCCTGCCCCTCCTTCCTCCTCTCCCTCCTTTTCCTCCTCTTTCTTTTCTCCCACCTTCTCTCCCTCCCCCTCCTTCTCCTCCTCCTCCTCTCCCTGTTCTTCCTCTCTCTCCTCCCTCGGTTCCCTCCTCCTCCTCCAACTCCTCTCCCTCCTCCTCCTCTCTTCCTCCTCTCTCCTCTTCCCTCTTCTCTCTCTCTCTCTCTCTCTCCTCTCTCTCCCTCTCCTCTCTCCTCTTCCTCCTCTGTCTCTCCCTCTTCCTCCTCCCTCTCCCCCCTCCGTTCCCTTCTCCACCTCCTCCTCTTCCACCTCCTTCTCCTCTTTCTCCTCTTCCCTCTTCTCTTCTCCCTCTTCCGCCTCTGCCTCTCTCCCCCTCCTTTTCCCTCCTCCTTCTCTCCCTCCTTTTCCTCAGTTTCCTCCTCTCTCCCTCCTCCTCCTCTCTTCCTCCTGTCTC